GATGGGTTTGCCATAGACTTCTCTATGTGCCCAGTGTATGAGCCGGTTAATGGCTCAGTGCTGCTAACTTAAAAGTTGAGGGTCAAGTCCACACTGAAGTGCATTCAAAGAAGGGCCTGGTGGTCTACGCCTGAAAAACCACCCCCCTGGAGCCCCTTGGAGCACGGTTCGACAACTCTGACACCCATGAATTGCCAGAAATCCCAGCCAACTTAATGGCATCTGGCTATGCGTATCCCAAGCATATGTCGGTGCTGTCTGTATATTGTTGCGTGCCATCGAACCTGTTCTGCTCAAAGCAACCCTGTGCGACAGAGAGGAACTCTCCCGGAGGGTTTCTGAGGCTGTAGCCTTGACAGGAGCTGGTGCCCACCCGGCTTGATCATGCACGGAGCAGCTGGGGGATTCAAACTGCTAACTTTTTGCGTTGACGTATGTACATAAACTATATGTGTATCATTTCAGAAGCACACCCGGGTCCATTTTTTCAGGCAAACCATTCCGACCCTCCTTTCTAAATAAGCCCTAAAGGTTAGACTGCAGACACAATGGGTGGCCCTGTCCTGCTAGGAGGCCGCCATGATTCCATGCTGTCGCCAGGAGCCCTGGAGTCTTCAGAAGAGAGAAACCAATCCCTTGTCTGCCGGAAAACTGAGACTCCTCGGAAGGAGGTCCAACTTGCTGAAAGTCACCTTGGGTGACTCGGCCACAGCAAAGGAGGCCGGGGATGTTCAAAGAGAGAAACAGGGCCACCTCTTGTACCCGGGGCTCAGATTTGTAAAAGAGAGGTCAGCTTGGGTGGCTCGTACAAAAACAGCTTGTCCAGAGCAGGGGGGGGGGGGGGGGGGGGGGGGGGACTTCACACCCCCTATTATCAAGGCAGAAAAGAGGACAATCCAGGCAGCTTCCGCTGTCAGCGACGCTGGTGTATCACTGGAACACATTACCGACGTGCTCAGTGGGGGCCGAGCGGTCATGTTCAAGGCCTGCCCAGGTTGTCCTGAGTGTGGCTGTGAACTCCTTATCTCAGGAAAAAGGGATGAAGCCTGCCCTGGCAATAAGAAGGGAGAGAGAGGGGCCACCTTGTACCAAATCCTTTTATTAGACATCCCCTTCCGGTTCGAGGAGCCTTTGTGGCGGAGTGGTTACCTGTTAGGCCGCCAGCTGCAAGATTGTCGGTTTAAAACCACCAGGCACGCCTCGTGAGAAAGATGGGGCTTTCGACTCCTGTAAAGAATTAGTTCTACATTGGCTCGATGGCAGCAAGTTTGGCTTTGGGGGTTTTGTTTGTTTCCAGTTCATCGGATCACGAACAATACTGGAACCTACTAGAGGGCACTACCTTCGGTTCTTACCTTCCAGTTCATGAGCAGAGGCCAGGTAAGGCTGTCTGCTCCTATAAAGAGCTGCAGCCTCGGCACGCGGGGGAGCAGTTCTATTCTGTGCTCCACGGTCCCTGGGAGTCACATTCAACCAGATGCCAGTGGACTGGGGTTGGACCCAGTTCATAAAATGGAATTTGAATGGCCTTCAAAAAGCAAATGCTTTACCCAAGTCCCCTCCCCCACTAAACACTCTCTCCCCCCTCCCACGTCATGGCCATCTGATTCGTTAAGGCATCCAAGGTAAAGTGCTCATAAGACTAGACCACACGTGGCCAACTCACCAGTGGCAATGGGCAGCCTTTCGGTTCCTTCTGCATCTTAAAGGGAAAAGGTTTGGGCACTTTGCAAGTTTGTTCAGTTAAAATAAATATTACAATCCTTTTAAAAAATGGAGGAACTAAAACAAAAGAAAGATGTCCATTTTCTAAAAAAAAATCATTCCTACAGGTCAAAAAACAGATTTGGCTGACATCTGGGTAGACTCTGGTTGATAAAATAACATGGTACAGACATCTTTCTGCAGCAGGGTCTGCTTCAGATGAATTCATTGAATTAGCACTACTTAGTTCTAGGAGCCAGTTGCCTTGCCTCGCTACCACTATCTTCCTCAACTACACAATTCTAGGGCCTGAGCTGGTTCCTTAAAACACACATTTACCTTTAGGTGCTTGTCCACACCTATGGGGTTGTTGCTTGGTTCAGGTATCCTCCCTCAGGAGAGTACAGGGATCACCTGTATACCTTCGTCTTGCTTGTCTTTTTACTTAGCTTCAGCCCAACAAGGAAAGGAGTGGGCGGGATGGGTGGTATATTCATGGGTCTACGCTCCAAAGCCCCACTCCAATGTACAACTTGCCGAACTATGCACACAGACATGACAGGGGATTGTGAAAATGCACCAGAGACAATGGGGCTAATGTACCAGGATCCCTGCAAAGCAGTTCAGGGGAGAGTTAGGAATCACTAGGGCTATCAGGATCTGAAGAAAGCGCCCTAAACGGAAAAGCTTCTTTAAACATTGATCTACTTCCTCTCTTTATCCCCTTCTCCAGAGAAAGAGAGAAGGAAAAAGAAACACTGGCTATGTCCCTGTAAGGAATTCAGGCAGAATTTCTTTATACAATGGATGAGTGAAATATGAACCACGCTGCCAAAATCAGCTAGACAAGCAAGTCCTGTGTATTGGGCTCAAGAGGAGCCTGGACACATTTCCAAAAGAGCAGGGAATCGGAAGACTGAGACGCTGCCTCCTGTTCTGAGTCGACGGTCATAAAACACAAGTTAATTTGTGTTTCACAAGATAATATTAAGGATAGATGGGAGGGGAACTGGAAGCTTAGGAACCACAGCCCTTTGAGGCTTTTAAACTATCCTGGTCCAAATTCCAGTGGGGAGAGGACGGAGCCTTTCCTACGGAAGGATGTTCTCAAAATGAAGTTCCGCGGAACCATAGCGTCCCACTGCCATTGCGTTGATTCCTATTGGGCAGAGTCCCACTGCTCCACAGGGTTTCTGAGGCTGAATCGAAGCAGCCAGCCTCGCCTTTCTCCCTTGGAACAGCTAGTGGGTTGGAACTACTGACGTTATGATGAGGGGTCCCACGAACTCATAACCTACTGCACCACCTTCAAAACTATCCAGTTTTAGAGCTAAGGGCCCGGCTCTCAGAGAAATGAAGCAAATGGCCTTGGATTGTGCTATTAATTCATGGCAGAACCAGGAGTCAAACACAACCCTCCAGACTTCTAGAACCGTGGTCATAGCGGGTTGTAAGGCTCAATGCTTTTCTCTGAAGGCCAGACTTTTCCTGTGACCGTGCCCTTTACAAAAGGGGTGGACAAGTCAGATCTGAGACTCCATTCACACGGTTTGTTGGAACAAGGTGTTGGAATCAGACATGAAAATGCTTTCCAGAAGTGCGTTTCATTTGGAAGGACAGGACAGGGACTGGAGTGTCACGCCACGGCTTTGGGGGTGATGGTTATATTTCGGTTGTTCTGATGATAAAACGATACTACACCATGGTTCAAGTGTTTTCTTTTTGGCCTCTTAATCCGCATTATCTGCCTTTCCCTGGGAATTGAAGCCAAGGTGTCTGCAGATGCCTTGGCACCAGCCTGCTGCCCAGAAAGGACCAGAAACTTGCTGCTTGGAGATGAGAGATGGCTTTGGAGCTGAGGGTGTCTGAACCGGGATGGAACAAAAGAAAGCAACAAAGTGATCACTACCCCTATAAATCTTTGAAATGTAGACCAGGCAGCTCAGGGTTGTGAGGAAAATCTCAGAGGCGGAATGGATTGCACCTGCTTTGATGAGTTTGAGTTTTGAGAACAGGCAACAGTTTTATTCAATTCAGAGCAGACACGTCCCACCTGGAGAGGACGCGCACCCTTCACGCCGAAAAGTCTCATAGTGAGGAGTACGCTTCTAAAATCCTTTTAAAACCTGAGAAAGATCTAGCAAATTGAGACTGATCTCAGCAGGCAAGCTCTGGGACTTCCCACCTCCATCATACCAGAGGCCTAATAGGCAACTTCACTACCATTCGTGTGGCATGATTTTTTTGTTTTGGTTTTTTTTTAAGGGGAATAACTATTGAAATGTCATAAAGTAAGAATGAGATCCCTCTTGGTTTCTCTATTTCCTGCTCTGCTTAAAAACCAAAAAAAAAAAAGTAGTGAAATGGACTATGATTACCCTGACTTCAGTAGGCACGCAATAGGTAGATGTCGTGTAAATGAAGTGCTTCAATGAACAAGTTCTACTTCACTACCACTGTTAAATAAGATGATTTCAGAAAGAGCAAAACGGTTCCATAGCCATCTGGCTTCTTTTTCCTCTTCTGCTGGCTTAGAAAACACTTTAAAAGAAAATGATCCAAATTTCTCACGGACCAAAAACCCAACCCAAGCGCTCTCCTGTGGATGAGCTAACACAACGATTGCAAAAAAACGAGGTGACCACAGACTGTCGGTTAATTAAGAGGAGCATTCACTTCAAATCATTTTAGAAATATTTTAGATCTTTAATCTTGGATGTATTTTTCTAGATTGAACCCTCTGGTGTGTTTTACATTTTCTTAAGTGCGGGTGGGGGCGCAGGCACACTGAGGCCTTGAAACCCTGCGGTAGCAGTCGAAAGAAACAGAAAACCCTGTTGTTGAAGATGATTTTCAAACAAAAAAAATAAATTTAAAAAAAGGATGATTTTCATAATCAGTTGCCTCATCTTCTAGAAATATCTTTGAGAATGGAAAACTATGTTCAGAATGAGGGAATTACTTTTCTCTGCAAAGGACAGGATTTCATGTCCAGATAGCTAGACGAGTAAGAGGAAATCCAGTTAGAGTACTGAGTTGGGGGGTTATGGAAGTATGCTCCCCCCCCCCAAAGAATGCCAAGAATTTGACCTCCCTGTTCTTCAGGTGAAAGGGCATTAGTCAGATCTGTTCATGAAGAAAGGGGGTGGTGAATCCCAAGGCAGTGGAACACCACACAGTAAAATCTGCCAAGTGTTCATATGGCAATAGGTGAGTCTTTCAAAAGTTAGAACAACATCCGACTTGCAGGGAATTAACTGGGAGCCAGTGAGATCGCCATTTGCATCTCAGTAATTCTCTACTCCTTTATTTCAACATTGAGCTTCAGGTTTAAAATATTTGCTAGGAAAGCAGCGAGGCGGCGATTAACAGAGATTTTCAAATGTGTGCCACGAGTTACACATTCTGTCAACAGAGTCAAAGGGAACTATACAGCGTCAGTTACAACATGGTTCTTTCTTGTTTTGCACACCTTCCAATCAACCCTTCGCTGTGGTGTTATCCAATTCAGCAGTAGCAAAGCACAACGGAAATGAACTCCAGAGCCAGCCCAGACCGCTTCCCTGGTGTAGCACGGGGTCCATTCGCTGCGTCTTCAAAGGCCTGTGAAGCTCAGTGAAGAAAGACCCCCGGCTGCTCCAAGTGCACAGGGCATCCAGGCCAGGTGAGCTGCAGTTGGTGGAGGGACCCCAGCCCCTGCTCCAGGCCCAGGATAACAAAATCCCCCTGGGACAGAGATGCCCGCGGCGCTCCTGAGATCCCCGGTTTCCCCGAAAGAACAGATGTGGACTATCCAGGTTTGGCATGATCTCTTTGTGGATAACTTGAACATTGTGTTGTTCTTTTAGAAAAGAAAAACAAAAAACCTCTCCTCCCCACCGCCCCCCCTTAAATAAGCTAGAGCTACCAAACTCTGTAAGAGCCTGGCCAACATTTTAATGCGATGTCATTTGTGTTAAAATAATTTTCACTTTATTTAATAGTATTTCTTTATTTATGATTCCAACAGACTGTATTAAGGCAGTGATCACTAACACAGAAAACGGACGGGAACTAACATCAGCCAGGCTGCTCTCAGGTCCGGGGCCTGCTAGCCTCGGTCCGCTGACATGCATGTCGGTAGCTCATACACTGCTACCCTCAAAGCAGAGGCCATGGGGGTGGGGGGGAGTGGAAAGACAGAGGCTGCTGTACCCTTAGAAGCCATTTAATAAATATCATCCAAAAACAAAATGGAAAAGAAACCCTCTGAGAGCACAACCACCTTAGGCCAACTGAATGTAATCTAGTTTATTATTATTAATTATTATTATTATTAACCCAAAAAATTCAGAGAGAAGGAAAATATTAAAACAAAACAGGGAGAAAAAAATAATAAAAGTCGTTCTTAACAACTAGCAGTAAATAAATTTATACAACAATTAGGTCTGTATAATATGATGAAATAAATCTACATCTTTTCTTATTTTGGTGCTTTGAATTATACATACAAACAACAATTACAGGGACTTGTTCACAAAGCATGTAGGTCTGAGAAAAGCCCACCTGAACCCCTCGATGGCAACCCGTGTGAACACCGATTGCCTGGAATTTATAGTATTTTCTAGGCAGAGGCCCACAGCTTTGGATGAATGATTTGCCTACGACTTTTTTTTTTGTTTTCTTTTTTGTTTTTGTTTTTTTCATTTTTTTCTCTTTTAATGCATCAAACAACTGTGGCCAGTCAAACAAAACTGGCCGTTTGTCCATTTGGATATTAAACCTAGTTTCTTCTTAATTTCCACACTTTTGTTTTCCCCAGAACCTTAAAATTCTTGGCGTCCTTCATGCCTTTCTCACAGCTACCCAGATGCAATAAAGTCTTCCTCAAATGTACAGGATTTCTTACAATATAAGTTATATGCAATGTTCAGCGTTTTGTCGTCGTTGTTCACAGCACTAGAGACCCTGTTAAATAGGGAACATGAGTCTGAATGGCTTATTCACAAATGGGATCCAGATTCAGTGGTTGAGAACACACACACCCCGGTGAGCTCCTTTGCAAAAGTGGCAAACATCATTTTGCTTTCTGCCTTCAAAAGCATATCCATCGGTTTGAGGCTTCATGATACTGCTCCTGCAGAAATGCAAGTATAAGGGGTTGGAGGGAATCTCGCTCGGAGACCTGGAAGCATCGAGCAGGGACTCTAGCCCATGGCGGTGACCATGCTGGAAGGATGGTGCGGTCCAAAGGAGAGGCTGGACGCTGGGTGCATCGGTGTCGGAGTGGTCAGCATGTGGCTGGAGTGGCTGAAGGGTGCCATGTGGCTGAGGGATGACATGTGTCTGGAGAGGGCGGCGGGGTTAAAGGAGCTGCTCTTAGGGAAGTCCTCCAGCGCGTCATGCACCTTTTTGCACTTTTTGGATTTGCTAGACATTTTTCGGTTTCTGGTCTGGATTCCTTCCTTCTTCATAGTCAGGGGTCTGTTAATCTAAACAAAGATCAATTTTTTTTTTTTTTTACTTTTTTCCCCCCCCACTAGCTCTGAAATGGCACAGGCTCCACACACCATGGGTTCCTCCGCCGGCCCCTGATCAGAGATCTGCTTTCAGCCGACCCCTTCCCCACCCCACCCCCACCCCCGCCTCTTCCTGACTCCTTCCCTGGGAACCCCCAACAACTGTGGTCTGGCGCAGACAGGGCCTGGGAGGGAAGCGTCTGTCAGCTTCTATCAAAGGCTAGGTTCATAGGCGAGGTGTCCGCAGCAGAGGGTAACCCTTCTGCAGCTCAGCCCCATCATTCAAAGGGAAAGTTTCCTCAGGGAGAACTTGGCATTTCTAGGGAGGGACCACGTTTACAGACATCTGCCTACTATGATTTCATCTCTACATGATTAACAATGACTGGCTTTTCTTATTTGATTAGAGTTTCCTTACAATACTTCGTGAGAACAGAGGCAATGAAGGGATCTTCAAGTGGGAAACAATGTTTTGTCCACTCTTCTGACACCACCCGTGGTCATCTGCACTGCGTACCCCGTCGGCCCCGAAAACACAGGGGTTGTACCGATCTCAACAGTAACCTTTCTTACTTGACCTTTTCATAATAAGAGATGCCATAAATCTTCCCCTGGAATTTGCTATGTTCTGGGATCTTTCTTAAAGGTAATTTCTGGGCCCTGTCACTCCAGTAGGAAGAGGACGGCTGGCTGTTGCCGCTCCTACCAACTTCTAACTACACAAACACCCAAACAGCTCAAATGTGTGATGCAAAATACTGTGTGAGCATGAAAATAGACTCGTCCTACAGATTCAAGGCCAAGAATAAGCCCGAAGAGAGAGACAGAGGCAAGACCCTGCTCTAAGACAGAGGCTAAGACCCTGCTCTAGGTCACTAAGCTTCCATCTCTCTCTCCTTAAAAAAACCTTTCCCTATATCCTTTTTTTTTTTTTTTAAACATCTTAGCTTCAGAGAACCAGAAATCAAGAAAGGGTTGAACAGAACCAGTAGCAGCCACCACCCGCATGGACTCAGAAGCAGTTCGATCCCAGCTACAGGCATGTGCCCCATGTGGCACCTGGCACACCCAGTCACGTGATCTTCCACCAGCATACTCAGAGGTGGAGAAAGGGGCTCCCTGTGGCTCAGGGATCTACTCGCAAGGTCTAAACACTAGGAAATGAAAACAGATGGCCAAGAGGGACCTGGCCGCCGACAGTGCTTCCAGGAATCGCGCGCGCACACACACACACACACACACACACACACACACACTCCTTCGTGGAGCTAAGCTGGGAGAGGATACATGAGGGAGAAAGGACACTGCAGCTGAGCCCTGCTTCCCTCTGGGCCAGGAAGGTGGGAGAGCTAAAAGGTTACCACCAAGAGAGCATCTCAGGGATCCTTCTTCAAAGTTATCGTCAAGATAAAGACGCAGCCCACCGAGCCAATGGGAATCTACTGCCACATCAAATCTCCACCAAGCTAATGTCCAGATACACGGCCCTTTATGGTGCTATCGAGATATACATAGCCTGATATCGAACTATAATATCTGGTTACACAAGATAGCCACACAAGCCCGATAACTACCTAGATACGCTGATAGTGAGCTGGGCAAAGTTATCTAAACACCAAAGGGAAGTTAAGGCACACCCACTTATGTATAGACCTGCAGCTGGGCAGGACAAAGTACAACCTGATGAAAATGTGGACCGGTCCTTACCACTTATTGTTATACACATAAACTTCCCTCTTGAGTAGTCTTCCTGAACCAGGGAAGACAGAAGGCTATTCTGCAACAAATCTGTCTCCGCCCCATCACTGGAGCCCTGCCCCGAAGCCAGGGCTAATGATGGGTATGATGGAAAGAGCTGTAGGGAAAGTTCCTGGACTTGTAAAGAATATTTTCTATTCTTCACGCACACATACACACATTTTTCTACGATTGAACACAAGTGAGATCCTCTTTCATCACAATTAACTACTTTAAAAAAAAAGTATAACTCATTATAAGTTCCTGTTATCGCTGCCTTTTCTAATAGTAAAAAGCATGTACCTACACACAGTGTCTTACAAGTGTGTTGTAGTTTAAAATGAGAAAGGGTTTCCAATGATTCCCCTATTAGTCTTCGCTCCACAGAACTTCCTTCACAGACTCTAAAATCAGGCCTGTGTTCACGGGGCCGGGCAATTTAGATCCCACGCCTGATTCTTCTGCTTCCAGCACCCACAGCACCTTGTCCAAGTTTCCACTCCGAGCTATCATTTCGTCAAGCACAACTGGAAGCAAACGAAATTGCCTCCCTGGCTACATCGTGAGATGACTTGAGGCTCACATGTGATCAAAACATGGAAGGTCTTTGAAAATGAGACAGTCAGCCCTGAGCTGACTCTCTCGGCTGCGAGAATGACCTGAGAGTTCGTACATTTAATGTCCCGACTTTTCCGATGTTAATTATCAAACTGTTTTTTTTAATTTTCCCTGCAACAAGGAAGTAAATTGCTCCAAGGGAAATTGGGGTGTGGGCTCCATTGTCAATAGCTGGACAACTAGCACTGCCATGGGTTCGGGGGCAGAGAGGGGAGCAGGGCTACTTCCCCTAGGTCCCTGGGCATCAAGAGTGAAAAGAGGGTGCCCTGAGAAGGGCTGCGTTGACTAAGGAGAGCCTAAGC